GTTCCTCGCAAACGTAGAATCGATCGCGCCGCCGACGGCGAAATGAGATTATACGTATGGTGCTCGTTAAAAGAAGACGGTGTGCCCCGTCCCTCGAGGGCAGCGCTTCGGCGATATCAGCAGCGATCCATTCTATCGTTACGCCACAGCATCTTGGTGTTTCTCGTGTGCATTGTAGGTTGATGGGATTGTCGCCGTACCTGGGACAACGGGTGCACTTCGCGGAGGGCACGAACTTACGGTGCCGCGAAGATAAGGAACCGGAACCGGAAATCATAGTGTGCTCCGATAATGACGAGCCAGAGGAAAGGTTGGCAGTCGACGAGAACCGACGATTTTACCCACCGACTACCCTCGCCCCTTCCCGAACACCACCCGATACCAAAATCGAAACGCAAACCTGGTGTCCGCGGGTATCCCATCGCCGTTGCGCGTCTACTTTTATCAGTAGATCGCAGACTTTTATGCGAAATCAAATATTTAGGACTGCAGAGTCTTGTGAAAAATGCATTTTGGACATTTACTTTATCATTCAAACGTTGAAACGTGAACTCGGTTTTCCGCATTCTAATTAGCTTTATGCATTCACAAGCAGTATTCATAATTTCTAGATATCGAATTTCTTTATAAATGCATGAAATCTCTGGTCTATTTATCATCTCTGTGGCAATCTATCTATTGTCTGATGATACGCAACAACGATACGATGCAAACGGACACTACCCAGCTTTAGATGCGATGGTAGAGACTTAACAGGGTATGAAAAGATTTTTTCTTATTAACAACTGTTCAGACCCTTACAGGTACGCTCTAGCTTCACAAATCAAACAGTAATTATTAAACTACTGTTTTTTTATACGAAATATGGTGTGCAATATTAATTCTAAAACTGTGATTTAAGGTTGTATGAGCCAAATGTTTAAAAAATCTGATAAAAAGCTACGTTCAATATTTTTTTAGGAAAACTTATATTTGATTTTAAAAGTAAAGAAATAATGAATAGGAAAGTCGGAGAATTTCTCGTATGGTATTCATAAAAGTTTCAAATCTATTCTACCAAGATTCGAGTATACTTCCGTTTACCAAAGTATTTGTAAAAGGTTCGAAACTATCTGACATGGCTTCGACTATACTCAGGAGTTCTGTTTCTGTCTTCCGAAGTACTTGTAGAGAGTTCGAATTCCATAAATCAAAGTTCGAGTCCGTTTGCGAGGTATTTGATCCCATCTCCGCTAACATCTATTAACTATTAAAATCTCTTTATTTAAAAACTCATACAATCTCAAACACGCGGCATCGAGATTCTGATAGAAGTTTACTAAATCGAGATTCAAATCTAAATAGAAATTGAAAAGATGGCCGAGAGCCGAGAGGCGTTCGTCTCGCATTTGCATCGCTCGAATCGCACCTTACACAGATGTACGCGCTCGATCGATGCACGGATATGCAGGAACGATACGTTGTCGGCTTCTCGTTAAATCATTTCAAAAGATTTGCTCCGCGGACGGGAAAGCCGCACGCTGACATTTCTAATTTTGGTCGGACCTTTCTCGCTTGTCGACTGCAACGATTAACCGAATTTAAATTAACCGATGGAACAGATAAAATACGGGTCGTTAAATCGGAACGAGCTAAATCCATCCGCGTTTATTGTGCAGTTTACCGTTCAAAAGAGTCATTTATCGTAGAACATCTTCCTAGCCACTATATCACTACGACGTTCTTTAATATCGATTAATTCATTTGAATGAAAATACAGACAAATTTGTTAGTGTTATTTCGTCGACCAAAACACAATTCAATGATAAAACATCATTTATACAATGTTAAATATAGCTTTTATTGCCACGAACGTTTGATATTTTAGAAAACCAAATTTTTCTAAACCAAAAGATTTCATCGAACAAATTAAGTTTCCAACGGAGTCGAAAATCCTAGCCATGAATTCTCGACGATCTGATCACATCATATTCTGCGTTGGACCGGACGTTTCGACGGAAGTGTTAAATTTATTTCGTTGTGAGACCCGTCGTGCCTTCGCGTGCGTAACAGCTAGTACGTAGATACCATAAGTATGATACGTACGTAGGTGTATGTCGGCAGTGCGTGAGGATTAAAGCAGGACGGAAAAGAGGTAAAGTGGCGAGTACGTGGTGCGCGGGAATAAAGGATCGCGTTTAGATGTATGGTCGCAGATACAGGCGATTTTTATATTACGTATGCGCATAACTTAGGCCGGTCAGCCTCAACATTTTTGCCAACAGAAATCCGTGACGATCCTCGCGGGAAAGTTCGCGTGACGCGTGATTCGTGGATCGCTCGAACCGACTCGTACCGCCAGGAATATTAAAGTAATTAGAGAGAAACGAGGGACAACGGGGAACGCGAATAAATAGATTAGAATATCAATACCCTCTGCCTTATTCTCGTTTCTACCCGATCACCGTGTTGGTTCATTGACTACGGTGGATCGTTCGTCATCCAGGCAAGATCCATGTATAGCACGAACCAATCAAATCAGATTTAGTCATCTACCAAAAGTGAGAACGGTTCTACGTCTTATTTTGCATTGCTTCGGTTCTTCGAGACCGGAATCGGAACGTCATTAATATTAAAACAGATTCGTATCGAGGATCGATTTATCTTACTTACTAGTTTTTTCAGCCGCGTCACCTTCGCCGCGGAATTTAGATCGAGCGTCGCGGAGCAGAGGATAATTACAGTACCGCGAACGTAACGCAAATAAAGCGAAATGTTTAACGTAACTAGAGAGCCGAGAGTGCTATTAAAATTATACGTTGTATACAGGCTGAACCACGAATCGTGATCAGTAGAGATTACTTTATCCAAAAGTTTGAAGATGATCTTGAAACATCTTGGAGAAAAAAGAGCTGACAAAAGATTTGCTATAATCACGTGAAAGCTCTCTTGGAACCATGCTATACCTGATAAGATCATTTACGATCGGACAGTTAAATAACAGAATAATCTCTACTGATCACGATTCGTGGTTCACCCTGTATGTTTCTCTCGTCGATGGAATATTTATGAGAACGTGAATTAAAACGTTCCGCGGATCGATCTTTGATTTGTCATTTTTTTTTTTTTTGCTTACGCTTTGTCACGATACTGCGTTACACGTCGCGTGAGCGTGTTATTTAAATTAAAACGTGCGGCAATTATTTTTTAACGAACTGTGTAAGAAACGAAACTGATCGTAGTCGTACGACTTCTAATTTAAATTCTAACAGATATTCGTTTACCTCGTGCAAACTAGTGTTTGCTTTTAAGAAACGTTGAAACACGTGACGTGTACCTGCAGTCTCGTATCGCAAACTGAATATTGACGTATACGAGAATTTACGACTGGACGTACGATGAAAATCGATGAACGATCGAAACGATAAAAAGTGTTTGGAGGTATCGCGAAACGATTCGAAGATACTAATAATTTATTTGTTAGAAACGGGTAGCAACCCGGATACGTGGCCGCGAGTCGAACCTACCAATTGTTAGAAGTGCTCGTTCCACACGAGCCTCGAGTCTTATCTTTATTTACGTTCTTTGCCTGTATATTGTTATCCCGCTCGCATACAGTCTGCATTGTTTGCTTTTATTCATGATGCGATTTTAAGGAATCTATCTCCTTTGAATGAGTACCTATGACTATAGCTATATACCTATGACTGAGCTCGATCTCGATCAGTTGTCTCATACGTGTATCCGGACACTAATTGTATGTATATTCGACACGTAGTATTCTGACCGAAAATAAAGACAGACAAGTATGCATCGCCGTTAATGGCACATGGCGGGTGATGTGTACGTGCAGGCAATATGCAATGAGTTGCATCGATGCCAGAAACGTAAAGGTGAAAAACTCTTATTTTTAACAAGCGGAGATTTGTAAAACACAGAAGCTTCGGATGTGTAGGCAATGAAATCGGTCGAAATCGCGTAAGATTTGGTGTAATAGGATGGATCAGTTTTGCATTAGTGATCGAGGGCGACGCGTTTAGAAAGAATTATTATTTTCGACCAACGGTCTCCCTGTCTTTCTTTTTCCGTTCTGTGAAACGGAGATTAACATCAGAATTACCAAACCAGTCATTTTGACTTATCGTGAGTTATGGTGTTTGGAGAAATGCATATATGTATAAAAAGAAGTCGGTAGCATGTGTTAAAAAGACGAACGATCATCCATTAGTTTCATAAGTACTAGTGACAACTAATAAGGCGACAAATAATAGAAGATTGGAAATAGTAGAACGTTGGCTATCGAAATTCGAGTCTCGTGTCAATCATTTTTCTACCGTCAAATATTTGCTCGCCTTTATTGAAAGCTCTCCTCCATCGAGGAAGAAGAACGAACAGCTTTGCACCGGCGAAGCCTAATCGCAATATTGCATGTTTCACGGTTTCGTACGTGGGAATGTAAATTCGAACCAAAAATCGATGACTCTGCGCAGGAGTTTTTTCTGCATCTCTCGCTGGACGCGAGTATCAGGTCGATGCAAGCATAATTTGCACGCCTACTTTAGTTATCGCTACGTAGAAAATTTATTCCTGCATCGAGTAATAGATGGGTGTTGTTTGGGGTTAAAAAATTTCTCGTCCATTCGGCCGGTCAGTCGGTCGGTCGGTCGCCGGTCGGTCGGTCAGATAGACGGTAGGAAAATCGTGTCGGTTTCCACGAGTCGACCGAGAACGTATCTCGCGACGCCGATCGGTCGTATCGATTATTCCGCGTAGAAACGGGGCTACGAACTACAGCGTCTCGCTTTGAATAATGCAGGCGAATAAAAGGCGAGACTAATCTGCCGCATACGTTTTACTTGATTTTACGACTTCCAACGATCGATGCATCGTTGTTTATGACCGCTTAACGCAAAAATCGACTCTCCTTTGCCCGCAGAATCTCATTTCCTTTTTATTATTATTTATTAAGTATATCTTCGAAGTTACGTATCACCGTACTTGCGATCAAACATTTTTAACGTTTCGTACGGTGTGAAACTACTTTCGGATGTGAATCGTTCGTCCGGTCCTCGACCTCGTCCGTCTCGACGCGACGAATTACCGACATAATTTTTAGCCCGACGTTCCGCTCTGCAAATTCGTTTGTCGCTTCAGTGTAACGCGGACTCGCTCGATTGAAAAATGTGACGTCCCGAACTCCCTTCCCCATTTCCAACGCTTATCGCGCGCAGATCGAGTCAGCGATCTTCGATACGCGAATGCGGCCTGGCGAGACGATCCTAACTTCTCTCTGCGGCGATAAGTTACGGTCAACGGATCGGTGACGATCTCGAAAAGTTCGTGACGGGGATGAGTCTCTCGAGAGCGAAGGACTTGAGTTCGATTGATAGTCCGTTCGCTCTTTTCGACAATATTGAATAACTTCGATCTTCCGTTTTACGGGCCTACATAGTTAACTAACCTTAGGAAAAAGGACTTTAAAGCGTTCAGCTTTTCAGTGCGAGTAGTCCCACGTGAGATGGTAGCCTCGTATTTCGTCAAGTCCACGTCGTGCGGGACGTTCAAGGCGTCCGTCTCTTTAACGTTTGGAGGCAACGTAGCGAGCGCGAACGTCAGATAATCCAGCAGCGGGCTTCCCAACGAAACGACTCGAAGATATTAAATAAGAAACATCTGTACCGTGCCAAAGAGGCTTGCCTCGAAAGATTTTATCGTAATCAGTTCGAAAGGAGTGCTGTATCAGAAATTGAAAAATTCGTGGTCGACGACGTTGACGCGTAATAAAAAAGGAGAAGAGGGGTGGGAAAGCCTGAAAGATGCCGAAGCGACGATGACGGCGCGGGGGTAGATACATATATTTCTCTCGAGCCTCGTGGCAGGAAAAAGGATGAGAGAAAAGAAGGAGGCGGTGGAGGACTCGGTAGTCGGGAGAGCAGCCGACGTCCACACGTGTCTGCCCTTTCTGCGTCGCGCCACGTACCTGTTCCTGCGTCCCCGATCCCGACGCTCGGCTCGGCTCGTCTCGGCCGCGTAGCGCAATCTCCAATTGGTCGTCCCATGACGCGACGGCATCGGTGTTCCTCATTCGCGTACTCGCGTACACGGGCACGGATGGAATCCGTCGGAGGGCGCATGTCTGACCGACGACGACGGCTAGGAGGGCGCGAGCGAAAGAGGGTAGCGCGAGGGTTAGAGGGAGAGGACAGCCCAGCGTCGACCCCCACTTTGACTCTCGCGGCATCCGCCAACGCCGAGCCCTGGTCACTGGTCCGACCAGTCTACCCTGTCGCCCAGCGTATGGCGTAACTCGTTCCTCGTTCTCGTTCCGTTTTCTTCCACGATCGACGACCCCCTGTGAACAACGACGACCACGACGGCGAAAATCTCGTTCCCGCTCGTCGGGAAGACGAACGCGCTTCCGGTTCCGAGCGCAGCGCGACCGCGTACACGCGTCGTCGTTTCTCTTTCGACTCGACCACGCGCTCGGGCCGTCGTTCGTTCCCGTCGTTCGTAAAAGGTCGCGTACTACCGACCGAGCGTCGTTGCACGTCGAACGCGGAACACGAGGGTGGCCGGCGGCTGCTATCTCTCGGACAGCGGCAACAGGGTGATCGCGCGGATCCGTCGATCGATTCGTTTCTTCCGTGATTTGAATCGCGCGCGCGCCTGTATTCTTTTTTCGCGGGACGGAACTCTTCCGCGCGCGAGTTCGACGTCGAGCGACGCAAGGACGTCGACAAGCCGATGAACCGTGAACGTTCGAGAAAACGAAACGATGTTCGCCGTCCCATGGAATTCGATGTGATCTCGATCAGACGGAACGTCGCTCCATCGCCGCCGAGGAATTAAATTATGTGCCCGGTGGAAAGCTAGTCGGCTACCGATCGATGCCACTGCTCACTAAAGAGGAGAGAGTCACGACGCGCGAGCGAGGGATCGAAGACGTCTGAAGGAACGAGACGAGAGAGAAGGAGAGAGAGAGAGGCGAAGAACTCGTCGACGAAGCCGTTCGACGACCTCGAGCGCGTCGAGATTCGCCGAGGTCGTCGACGGTTCCTAGCGGACGCGCGACCTTTGGCTTCGAGACAAACACCGCGTTGCGCCGCCAATTTTTGACTCGTCCGTGCGAATCGCGGTCGAAGTTCGTCAGCGTCACAGAAATTTCCGCGACGAAAGAAACGGAGGATAAAAATTCGATCGAATTCTCCGGTGGAGGTTTCACGTTTCTAAAATGTACCCATCGCTGTAATTGAATTCGAGGGTTCGCGATAGGAGAGTCAGAAAAATCGCTACGGACGATGATGTTTGATCGTCATCGTCGTGCCTGACTGAAAATTTGTCAAATATGCTTGCAACCAGATTTCTTACCAAGTGTCCGTCGATCGCGGTCGATTTCGTTTTTCCGTTGTCAGCCTTTCGGTGAATTAAGAATTGAGACCGAAAGCTAAATTAATTGATTTCGACGAACAAGGTAAAACGTGCGTAGGAAGCGAGAAAAGAAAGAGAGAGAGTCGTTTACGCGGCGTCTTTGGTGTGCGATGAAATTACGGCAAGACGATTAAGAGCCTTGGACCGAAGATCGTCTTTTCGTCCTCGACGAAGGAGCGTTTAATTCGAGATGCTTAGCGCGATCGTCGCTCGCCGTTGAGGAGAAAATTCCGTCGGCCAGGAGAACGAGCTCGAATCGCAAACACTGGCTTCGATCGAGGACGTCGTGTCGCGTCGTTTCCACGTGCCCGTCGGACGCGTCCCGGATCGGAATGTAATTTTAGCGAACAGATATCTCTCTCTCCCCCGACACCGTCGAAGGGTGTACCACGCGCGACCACGACCTTGCGTCTCGTGTCTCGCGCCGGCCACCATGGACATTAATTAATCGACCGTTCTTCGTTCCTCCACGGGTTCGAGGCTGCAGTGACTTTATAACGTTCGCGGACGCTCTCCAACGAGTACCAGTGAAATTCCAATTCTCCCGGGTAAAGTGAATGGTGAACGTCGACGATAATCGTCGACGACGAGACATATCAAACAGAAATTGTAACGAAACCGATTGCGAGGTAAAGAACGACGGAGGAAACGATTCTACGTATGAATTTCGTGCTCGACCGACCGAAGAACAAGTGCGAGTAAACACGTGTAACGAGGAGGAGTACATCGGTCGATCACGTGGGAACGATCAGCGACCAGTGAAAAGGAAAGAAGAAGAGGATCTCGGTGGATCACGATTCTCGCTTATGATGGGCTGCAGACCGGCGGCTAAGTCGACGGTGGCGGAAGGGTGCGGTCGGTGGCAGCTCGAGGCTGGTTCCTCGCTTACCGAGATCATCGAGAGTCGGACGATCGTCGTTCGTAAACGAAGCTCGAGTCCCGCTCTTCGGGGTGCGAACGACGAGGAGGAGGAAGAGGAGCAGGAGGTCGAGGAGGAAGAGGAAGATCTGGTCCGGCTCGTGCGACCGGTGTCGTCGCCGCTGTTCCCGCTCGACGACCAGTCGAGTCTCGGCAGATAGCTGCCAAGCGATAATGCAGAGACTGCGCTCGACCTTCAAGAGGTCGCGCACCCCGACGGGAGCGGAGATGAAGTCGCAATCGAGCCTCGAGGTGCCGAAGCAGGTCAGGTCGGCCTCGTTCGACGAGATCCAGCTCGAGGCGAAGCGGCAGGACGACACGAAGGACATCAGATCCGCGAGGACCACTTCCTCCTCGTCGTCGTCCTGTTCACCAGCGAGGTCTCAGGAGTCGTCGCGCGGCAGACGCGCGTCCACGCTCCGAGTACCGCAGCTGCAGAGCGATCGCAGATCGAAGAGCTTCGACGTCTGCGAGAGGAGCTACGGATCCTCGTCCAGCCAGCAGTCCCTGGTAGGCATACGACGCCCCGAGACGCCGACAATACAGGTCTCCGGGTGTTACCACTGTGCCTGCGTTGAGGAATACAAGAATCTACGCGCGAGGGACGAGGACGATGGCTCGTCGAGGGACGAGCTCGACGACGAGCCGGACAACGACTTCACGTCGGAGGACGAGGATGAAGAAGAGGAAGAAGAGGACGAGAGCGCCGACGTGATCGACAGAAGCGAAGGTAGTCCCGAGATCAGAGTTACGTTGACGACGTTCGCTGAAAAAGATCTGTACGTTTCTCAAACGAGCCCCGAGCCCGAATCGGAACCGGGACCGGAGTCCTCGACGATTGTCCCGGAAGTGACGCGCGAACAACCGGCCGACGTCAGCTGTCTCAGCGACGTCAACAGCGGCCTGTTTCCCGAGAGACAGCGCAGAAGATCTCTCGCGTCCCCGAAACTCGCTCGACAAGAGGCTCTGACCTCGGACCCCGTTGACCTGCCGACGGTAGTCGGTTCGACGGAGGACGACGATGACGACGACGATGACAATGACGATGCAAATCGCACAGGGAAAGCCCAGTTCGTCGTCAGAGATATATTTCTGACCGTCCCGGAGCTGAAGAGGGACCGAGCCGCGTCCGTCGACTCTTGCTTCAACAACAAGAACGGTCACGGCGAAGACGTCGACTCGTTGGCCGTCCCTCAGCAGAGCATACGATCGAAAAGCGTCGACATCGTCCTACCCACCGAGGCGCAGACGAGATACACGGCTCTGCTGCCAAGCACCGAGGCTCGACCTTCGAGAGGGTGGGTACGTCTGGTGAACGGAACGATTCTCTGCTTCCGAATACTTTTGATGTTCCGTTGTGCAACCAGCTTTCCAATTTCCCGTCGACGTTGTTGATCCGAACTTGGATGTACTCGCTCGGTCCATTCCGTCGATCGAGTATCCTCTCGTAACGCCGCGACGTTTTTTATACGAAAATAGCCGTCCATCGAGCGGGCGAGAATCGAATTGACGAGATCGTGAAAATCTCGAGTGTTTTCCTAGAATTAATCGGCTCTCGATCTTTTCGTACTAACGTTTGTTTACTCTGCTCGTTGCCGTCGCTGAAACACGTCGAAAACGATCGACGAGCGACGACCGATCGATGCACGTTCGGACGCGAGCAGTCGACGCGCTCGTCGCGGACGGATCACCGATGCGAATCGGTAGCCTTCAATTCCCGTTCGATTCAACATCGTCGACGTAATTCTCTTTTCGTTCGTGTTTGCTGCTCGTTCATTTATTTTCCTGTTTTTTCTTCTTTTGTTTGGTTTCTATGTGCTTTCCCCGTTCGTACGCGTTTGTTTCGCTCGTTCTCGTCGCGACGCGCCGAATTGCGGTCGCTGCCGGCGTTGGTAACGACGATGCACGGAAGCGAGCAACGACGGTTGACATACTTGCTATTCGAGGATGCGAACGTTGTTCGACCACGTTAAATTAAGCGTCCGGGGGCACCAACATTTTCAGAGAGAAGTGTCTCGATATGTAGCTGTGCGCCAGGCATCAAATCGAGAATAATATAAAATCGGATTAGAGAGTGTAGAAGAAAGGAGATAATATGACAAAATAAAAATGGAAAACATCCCCGAACCAAAGAAAGAGGATAAACAATAATTGCAGTTAAATAGATGGATCCACTTGAGAGCTACGCCGTATGTTTGTTTAAATAATAATGTATTACCATTTCACTAACTACTATTTGCAAAGCTTTCACCAATTACGATTTACGAAAACCCGATAGGCAACGAGGAACTAAAATTGGGAACATGAGAATTGCACAGGTTAGTGATCGCGGTTTGCTGCTCATTCTATCAGGCACGAATTTTGAGCACGCATGTTTGCGTCAGCGTCTAGGTGGACAAAAACGCTCCAAAAACTAGGAGGAATATGTGAAGGATTATAATTGATGAAATTTTGCAATTAATTATTCATTGTCTTTCAATTTGCGTATGGGGGAGGGATTTATAATAATCGTGATGTGCCGTTGGTACATAATGTAATAAATTCATTAAATCGTGGTATTCTAGCATTGGGATTGATCTTGTTTTTTCGTATATTGGTATCAACTCAATATTATTAAAATTTTTTACTCCCCCGATATAGTAGTAAATGCAGAGTTTTAAACTATGAAAGCTCATTCATTGATGTTTTATAGAACACTTTATATGGTTCAGTTCTCAAAAATCGCATCCAATATATTTTTAACCTGTTTACCCTTTTTCCGTTAGTAAAAAATAAAATAAAAATCATTACCTGAGCAAATATTAATAATAGAACATAAAGGTCTCATAAAATTTTACTGTATGATGTACGCCGTATTCGTTTGAAACTCTCAAAGTGGGAATTAAGACTCTTTCAAAATAAGAATTTGTATCATTCTATTAACCGGCCAATTTTCTTTTTATAAAATCATTCTAACTTTAGATATATTTAGTCACAATTTCCTTTAAAATGAAAGGATAACGTAGAAATGTAAATATTAAAATAGCTAGCTTGGTTTTGTAGAAAACTGATTTGAGCACTTTCAAAATAAATGGCTTTTTATAAACTCTTTAAATTTCATTCACTAACGCTGATTAAACAATGTTATAAAATATACAAAAGTTTTTATAAATTTTAATACAATTCTATATGATTCTGTCGTGGTGCTCCTTTTTACGAATCTGCTCCTTATACGTAATCGAATTCTCTCATCGTTCCTAAGAGTGGAACGAGATGCAAAGACGGCAAGGGTAATATTCCCAACGCGTCGTAGGTTTCTTTCTCGTTGCGATACGCGCGTACGTGGGCAGAAGGCAATTTAGTTTTACCCGGCGCTACGCGTTTATGGTCTCGATACCGGAGTATAGGCGTGTCTCTTTTACTTAGTGCCGTTGCTCGGACTTTTCTATTTCGGGAAGATTGAGACGCCGATAATAATAATTCGAGAGCGAGAGAGAAGTTGATTAGAACTGAGACGCGTCTAATCGAACCGTACCTACCCGACATCGCGGTCGCGTCAGGCTCCTGAAACGTCGCACGTTCGCGGCGACTTTGTCCTTCGCGGCCGTGGAAGCCGAACCTAGTCGGATAACCAGAGTCTTAACGTTACCTTACAAGTTCTCCAAGGGAACGATTCGCGGTTACGTCGCGTTCGGATAAACGCGTGCCGAAGAATTCAATTTCCGAGATCGCGGCGGATGCGATCGTAATTGGTCGTTTCGAGGTTGTCAGGAACGTCAGGTCGCCGTTGTACGAAATATCGTTCGACGCGAGACGAATTTTATTTAGCCGGTACGGAAGGAGGACGAACCAACTAATCCTCGTTATTTTCTTTCGCGATAAATCTGCCCGCTAGATTGTTTGCCCAAGTAAATTCGCATGGTCGCTATAAATCGTTCGACCCTTTCATTGTGCGGGAAGTGAAACATACGTACGTGGCATTGTGCGCATAATGTAATTCGTACAAACGAATGACCCATTTATCGCGTCGTCGATGATAAATTCAGATTGTATCGGGCATCACGATGTATACGTTTTCTTATAATTATGCTTTTAATAACGATGGAACCGTTGATAGAGCTAGAAACGTCCATCCTTATTCCTTTTAGAAGAGCAGCAGAATATTATAAGACAATTTTCTTTTTTACGAGCGGTGGCTTTCAGGGATCGTTTTAAATAAGATGGGGAATCCTGACGGTACAAAGATTTTGCTCCTACTCATCTTGTCGTGCAATTCTATTTCCATGGGAAGAGAAATTACATGGAAAATTCTGTGCTCTCGATAACGAGGATTCAAGTGATGCGAGTCGACCGTGCGTGGTATTACATGCGCAAAATAGAATTTCAGGATCAAATCATAACTTCTAAGCTAATTAATTTTCGGCTTAAATACTTTAATACTCTTTAAAAGAGAATAAATTCATTTCGTGATCGGGACGGCAGCTGCAATTTTGATCACGACGCATTTAGAATCGTGTTTGACCTGCGTGTCATCGGTTAAATACCGCTTTATCGTCGGTCGCCACTTTTTTTCTCTCCCTTGTCAAACGCGAAACAAGGTTTACAAGTTAACGAGTTTCTAATGGCTCCATAAGAAGTCGATTCGGCTCTGGACGTAATCGAATCACGGCCAATGGGCAATCGTATCGAAATCAATCTCTCCCGGCGCGGCGCGGTCCGACGTTCCCGTTCCGCGAACCGGAGATTGAATTTCGTCTACAGTCTAGACCCACGGTCTATTCTAAACTCTCTGTACCGCGGAAGCTTCGTCGTTCGATAAGTATAAGAATTTTCGATTTAAATTGACAACAATTGATTGAGCCAGTGTCCTTCGTTCTGATATATTTTATAATGATCCAATTTTTTAATTTGTGGGAGGCAACGAATAATGTGCACACGATCATTGCAAAGAGTTACAATGGGACAATTTCTGACAGGCATAGGTGGCATACAGATACTTCGATGGAAATTATAAGAAAAGAGTATGAGGCGCGTACAGAATAAAGTAAATATTATCAAAACGTGGCAAATGTTCATACTTGGAAAAGAGCGTTCGAACGCAACAGACTGGAGAGAGAGACGCTTTCATTTTTTATTAGCTTTTATCGTCTGAACTTTTTTCTGTTTTACCGCACGAAAACGATGTCAATTTGTCGTCGACGTAAAAGCCGTAAAGGGGGAGGGACATTGTTTATCGTTAACGAGAGCGCACGTTCGGCAACGAGGGAGCATATTTTAAGGGTTTTCATGCAATTTTCACTTTCACTCGACTCGCAATTAATATAACTTTCCCGTTTTCCTGCAGCCGATGCTCACGTTAGAGCGTTAGGGCAAATGCTCTCGTCCGTGATTTGTTTCGGCTCGCAGAACATTCAAATTCGATCGTCGCTTTCTCCGTTTCTTCCCCTACGGGATTGGTACTCGATTCGAAGATAATTGAAGCGCGAGTCAATCGCGATTGCTATCGATGGTTCGTGGAAGCATTACGGGTTTATCTCCCGCATCGCGCACCGTAATTAACGGTGGATTAATTACCTACGGATAATAATTCATTACTCGTACCCATCGACTGGGCGTGTTTCGAGCATAAATTATTCACACGGTCATCTTAACACTAGATCCACCAAAGGGGGTCAAAATGACTCTTATAATCATTATTCATTTTCAGTAAATTTTAACGTAAATTAACGTAAATTAAAACGTAAAAATTGCTGTGCTCTTTCCTTGAATGACTTATTAATTTGAAAAGCAATTCGTTGTTACCTCTTCGGTAGAAGTAGTCAATCGCCGGTAGCTTTAGTGTTAAAAATCGATCGGTACGACACCGGTGACATTCCAAATAATTATTATTCAATGCTGATTTCGAGCGGTATTTTCCTTAAAGGTCGTATGAAATAAGGCGAGTTGTTCGCGACGGAACGTTCGACTTCGGTTTAGTGAAAGGAGAGATTGGCTGAACAAGACAAACAGCGATAACCGCGGAATCGAGGTTTGAATATTGAGAGATCTCGAAGGAGTCGTGGACTGAGCGTGGTCGGCCGGTCCACGGTCTATCGATAAATGAAATTTTCAGGGTTCGGTATTACCGCCGCGCATACACTCTCCGTGGGGACGTTCGTAAATCTTTAACCACCGTGCAATGCGTTCATTATTAATCAACTAATTCTACACACAGCGCGCCCGTCCCGTGGCCTGCTCCCTCCATCTCGCGTCCCTCGCGTACACGCATTTACAATTTATTCCCGGGCATCGGTACTCCCGGTATAATCTCTTCCGCTCTTTGCTCGTTCACGCGACACATAATTGGCTCTCCCATCTTCTATGTGCACGCTTACACATTTTTCATTACCTGCGAACAATTCACAATTCACTAATTGATGAACTTATTGGGACGTTTCCTGCTGTACACATATTTATAAAGTTTTAATAATATGACGATATTAGTTTGCGTAATCGAGTAAACGAATGCCTTCATCATCGTCGTTAATTATTACGGGAACAGCTGGTTGATGGATCGAGTGGATTCTGCTCTTGGCACAGCGTGTAACCAGTTCCTAATTGGTAGTTCGCAGCGACCGAACATAGCTTCTACGATACCTATTACCGTATTGGCGTGTACTCTATCCTGCGATCATGCTTCAACAACGTCCGAATTAGAATCCATACGACGACGATACCGACAAACATAAGACAGTGTAATGTACGAGGTGGCAGACTGATGGATTTGACCAAGTCACGACTTACTCATTATCATTCTCTATTATTTAATGATTTTATATCTTTTTATTTTAAACATGATTCGGAATCTGTTCGCCCTGGGAAGTGCATTATGCGTATTGACGCAGCGGTAGAAGCTGTATCGCAGAGTGGAGATATTAAAATGCAGCCAGTAGTTTCCCTGTTTGAATAATTGATCTTTCATTAGAATAGAAAAACTGAGCGCTGAATATCATGTACTCATAGCCATTTTAACCCTTTGAACTCGATTTATCTTCAATGCCGTTTCGTATTGTCAGGGATACTCTATAATCGACAAAAAATATAATAAGCAACATTGAAAATGAACCAATCATGACTTTCCGAAACCCTTCGGTTTTTCAGTGTCGCGTGTAAGAAATTCTCTGCCGCGTCGATGTCGAATGTTCGTAGATGTTCCTCTTTCGTACTATTCCTCATACGTACATAGATATACCTAGTGGCTGGTATCAGAACGATTCGATATGTACTGGGGAAGAGCCGCGTAACGTCATTTCGCGTTCCCTTTTTCCGTATCGCGTTTGACCCAGATACCCGTCAATTTCCACGGACTAATTACGCGGAAAGCTCGGCCCGACGCGAGTCTCGCCCGCCTGGCTTACGCGGCCTAAAATTTTTATACGGTCGTCGGAAGGGAGGACGAAGGTCCGAGGTGACTCGGGTCGTTCGAGTTTCATACCGCGTCGAGCTCCGACCGAGGTCACTTCACTTTTTTATGCCGTTTAATCCATTTATATAAGGTCGCCTCGGCTCATGAAGCTGTTAGCGAGCATCGACGCGTCGTTAAATTACGATATCTCGAATCGCAATAAGAGTATATACAACGTCTTCCATTTGACATTATTAAAATAAATGCGGGTCATCTCGTTCGGAACACTTGTTAACGTTATGTAATTCTTATGATCGAAGCTGGTGTCGTGTACTATGGAAAGACGAGCAGAATGAGAGGGACGATGTAATGTCGTTTTAAAAATTCATGAAAATTACGCTTTGGCAACATGGGGCAGAGGAGTCGCTCTTCGTTATTATTTTTTAATTACTATTCTTGGGGAAGGCTGGAAAATACAGTCCCTTTGAGAGCAATTGTAATTTCCAGTAGAACGACATCATTGCTTTGGTACTCGTTTGTACGAGCGCCGTTAATTTCGTTCGACTACCTTCGTTAATTTTACAAAGATCCACGACGAATTTTTACGAGAGTTTATCTCAGCGAGTTTCGCAAAATCTCCACGAGACTCTCTTTCCGCGTTATGTAAAGCAGTTGTGCTTCCACCCTTCAAATTGTTACTGTATAGTATAAAAGTGCAATGGTACTTGAAATTGCCACGATAATTCAAATGCATTTTAAATTGTTACATAGACTAATGCGTTTGCGTTCTCGACGATGACCAGAGAATTGAAAGTAAGTAGGTGCCTGCCTTCTTTTCTAACGATTAAACAAATTCAGTGTATATTCAGTGTATAACTATCGTTTGACGAGTTCTGTTCGTCGACGCGATGAACGATCGATCGTTTTTGTTAAACGAGAGCTTCGCACGATTTCTGTTCGGTATGTACGATGACGATTGACGAGAAATAATAACAAGCGGACTACAGATCTTTATTAAAAATAAAACGTTTGCGGCGTCAATTTGAAAACTGGATAGAAATTCGTATTGGCCTTTAAATGTTGTAACATGCTTATACTTTTCATCTTCTTTTCGATGTATTTTAAGTTACATTTTATACAATCTTTTTATTGATGATTTTATATAAATTAAATATTATGACACTCTTTTACTTTTGATTTTCTTCTCGACGTGTCTTAAGCCATATTTTGTACGATTTTTTTATTGATGCATCAAATCCGCAATCTGGTAGTACCTAAATGTGTGAGAGGAAGCATGATTTACGATTGAAATCAGGATGACGCAGTGTATTTGCGATCCGACTTAACAAAAATCGTTGATATTGTACGTATTTACAGCATGACGAGAACGAGCTTGGTGTCGTTACGTATCGTGTAACCGTTACGTTGTTGTGCTTCGTGAATCGGTGTCTCAGGGCCACGGCAAGTTGCTCGGTTTTGGTTGATTCCTCGGATGTGCAAAATATATTTGAGCAAATAAGAGAGAGCCGTTACGCTCGTCTCTATTCGAGTAACGCGCATTGTTCCGAGCTCTAATGGAATTTCTGTAGATCGCAGAGGAATCAACGTCAACTGCAACGGCGTGCCGGGCCGATGTCGAAGCGTCACTCTGTAATCGAGAGTCTCGCGTTTTCAGAGGGAGAGAGGAGGGCGGAACGAGTGGCGGTCATCGCGAGCCCCGATCGACGCCCGACTGGGGTCCTACCGCGCTCAATGGAGAACATCTTTGGGTACCGACCTCGGCTTCCGGTGAATTCTGTTACGTCAACGACTGTTCGGTAAGCGTTTCTTTCACTTGCTACTCGTTCAACTCAATGAGGTCACATTTAAAATCCTACATACCTGACCGAGAGATCGGGCACTATTTCCAAACTCAGCTTGATTATCACAAAAATCAGTAAATCCCCTCAAACGAAGAATTGTAATTATTTACGCAGATCTTTCTGTACAATTTCTATGTCACGGAAAAGAACGCTCATTTTGAGTTATTGCGATTCGACGAATAATAAATAAAGGGCGGCACGCGAGGTGTTCCCGACGAGAGAGCACTTTTCAAAGAGCATTCCCACGGCACGGAACGGTGCGCGTATGTGCGACCGCGCGGTTCGTTTAAACTCTCTCTTGCTCCGCTACTGGAATTGTTATTTCGCTCGGGGACGCAAAGAGAAAAAGTTTCCTACGAATCGTTTTATTTCGTTCCGTTCCCAATGTTCTTAATGGTTCCCAATTGTTTTGGTGCATTATGGCTCGCTGGGCGTATCCACGTTACTCTCGCGAAAACGGTTACCCGATACTACCTAGCCGCGCTATAAAAATGGGTGAAATTACGGAATAAAACGTGCGATGGTACTCACTCGGAAATTGGAAACTCGAAAACATTTATTACGAAAGTTACCTCGGCGTTGATACACTTGTACAAACAACTTCTCTTTGCTCCGATCTCCTGCGAATTAGCTATTTTCAATCGAAACACTTCCGTCCGCAAACAAATATTCGCGTTTCGCGTAGGCGTACGCAGTTTCATAATTGTTTTCTTAGGAGAAGAAAAATCATCTCGAGTTTGCATTCTCATCTATTATTATAGTGTAGGTAAAACCAAAACCTACATTAATTTGGAACTGAAAACGTCAAACGAAAAAGAATTCCGACTGATGAATTATTTCCATTTATTCCGGCTTTAAAGATGCCACTTCGTGAAACCAACGACTTCGAGATGTGACATACATCTACATTAAAAATCGATATTAGTAAAAGAATCAAGAGCGGAACAGAGTATTTCATTTTAGGCGAGGATATCAGGGAAACCTGTCGTAGATACACGTCACCGAGTAGCGAGGACGCTATTTTTCACGATGGGACGCGGGGTCGCGTTTTTCTACGTGCTACGTCGGTCGTATCTCCGGGAAGCGTGCTCCACCCGAACATTTTCTGCTTTCGCCTTTATTTCAACGTTTTATTTTTACGATTATTCGTCTTCGGTACGTCGTTACATCCCCTTTTTACGCTGCCGAGGTAAAGGTCAGAAACGAAACCCTCGCGATCTCTAACGAGCCCGGTCCGCCGCGAACGAACGTCGTTTCACTCGAAATTATTATCTCTAATTACTCCCGCGTCCAGAAAGTCTTTCAGTTTGTACAATTAGCAAGAATCTTTAAAACGATCAAAGTATTTGCATAGAAATTAGGAATTCAGCTTTTTTATATATTCCGCACTGTCACAGGATATATTTACTTCTAAAATAAAAAATATTATGAACAATGAAAATGTAGCTCTATTTCTACTGGGCGTATATTTTGCACACTTCTCTATTGTAAGAAATGTCTCATGTCTACTTGTACACTTTCTCAGCGAATACTTTGTATACTTCTATATGAGACGATGAGAGCCTTAATGACGTAAGTCACTTTTCAGCCAAGATGAGATTCGCACTACGAATGCTAACACGTCTATAGAAAACGTGAAGCCTTAATTCATCTACCCTACAAGGTGTCATCACGTAGTAGGCATGTTAACAAAACAGCGTATCTTTCGACTCCGAAAAGTGAATTAGATCGCTATGAATTTAGTGACTCGAGTTAACAAGAGATGCCAGTAAGACAGTATAATTCTTTACGGCCACGTTTGTTCGCCGATTAAGTTAAATAACAAGAACGAGCTTCGGAGATTATCGCGCGTTCACCGAGCTCGATGTTCATGAAGTTAATCGGTTAACTTATGTTTCGTTTAATTTCGAGATCGCCCTATCCTAGACGCAAACACGGTAATATGAATTTCGACGTCGTCTTTACGCCGGAACTATAAACTACGCAACGCAGCATCCGCTACCCGCGGCAACGCCGACAAGAAACACTGTTACAACTGCCTAGCCAAGTTCCTCCGCTCGTATCGCTCCTATGACGTATCATGTTCCGTGTATATGCCTCGGGGTTAGTACCGTGCACGGGATAGCGCATTGTCGAGTACCCGCTTCCGCAAATTCACCTTTGCTCTAGGCCGGCCAGCTCGCTTTAATCTATTCTACTCGATGCCTGCGAGCGTCGAGCTTACGCGTACGTAAGCTCAAAGTATCAATTATTATTATTATCATATAATTATAATCACCCGTGGGACGAATGCATTTACGCGTATAATTATTCGAGCATCGACTCAACGATTTTAATTCCTCCCTCGCACGACTGGAATTAGCGTAACGGACATTTTCTTAACGCGGCCGTAACACCGGCGAACGGCCAGCAGTAAAACGAGGGGAAACGATGGAACGCGGAACAGCGATGAAACGGGGAGCGTAATTAACATCCGGGGATCTTCGGCCCGTAACATCTTCCGTGGCCCTGAATTAAGCTGTAATTAAAAGCCCAACAAATATGTATGAAAGAATCGCAGCGGGCGGTCGGATGCAGCTGCGAGTAAATCTTTCGATAAAATACCCGGTACGAGACTGCGTGATGTCGTCCTCTACGCTGCACTCTGGCAAACGGAGAAAGGATGCTGGTGCCGCGTTAAAAGTAGCAAAGTACCCGTCCGAAAAGTAATTAAAAGCTGTTTTAACACCTTTCCTTTTTTTCGCACCGGACTTTCGACGAAAATGAAAACGAGAGAGAACAGAACCGACCATTCTCGCAATTTTCGTTTCATCCTTTCTCTCTTCTCTCTTTTCGTTCTAATTGTTAATCCCATGAAGTACTTACGTAGGATTTATACCACCCCTGGCGCAAACTTTTCGGTTAATACGTTTCGTATGTAACAAAGAGTTAGGTAAACGAAGCGTGCAAGGTTTCAATGTTTAAAATGCTACTGCTGTTTTGAAAACATGGTGTATTAAAAATCTTTTCTTATTTAAACAATCATTTTCTGCTTTGTGGTGTTGCATTGTCATCCAGTTCTGAGCTACGTTTAAAGTTTCAGGTCCGTTGTGGTTCAGGTTGTAGCTCATCGAGAAGTTAGTTTAAAATCAATTGCAGTACCGAACAGATTAAGAATGCGAGCCACTAAAAATGTAATAACAAACGTGAGACGTCAGTATAAATAGATTAGATTACTCAAAATGTGCTTCAGGAAATATGTACAATTTTGCATAAAAAGCGTTCGAATCTTTGTTCGTGTTTATAATAAATGTTCATTAAATTGCGCTTATTAAAGTTTGCAAGTATACGTACGTTGTAAATATAAACGATCGGACACGACGGTTCATCCTGCGATTTTTCTATCCACGCTGTCTCGGCTCTGTATTTGATCTTTCATTTCCGAAAAGATATTCTTGATTCGCCAACGTTCGCAAGCGTGTAAGGATATTATTAATTATCTGGCTTATCTCTTGAAAACTCTCTCGGTGTATCCATCGTCCGAGTCAATTACTAGGAACAAACATCCTCGCGGCTACCGGCGGCGGAGCGCGAACCGTCCGACAAAGCGATTACATGGGCTGATAAGACCGGTTACGAGTACGACGCGGAAGATCGTCAGCCGCATAAGAACACATTCAAACGCCAGTTAATTTCCCGTTTCACTACACACGACCGTCGCATTTCGATACTGTCCTTCTCGCAGAAAATACAAAGCAGAGCGTACAAAGCTTCGACTACTAGCCTCCATGTAACAACCAATTACGATATTTGTTCTGAAAAAACATGCAATAAGCACTATTTTAATACTATGTACATTTCTTTCTGCAAGCGCGATTCCAATGCATAACAGTTAATTGAATAAAAAAAGTTCTTAATACGCCACGTTTTTAAAACTGGCTAAATAGTAAGTATGAAATAATTATAAAATACTTATAAAACGTTCGGCGCACTATTTATGCATCAATTATCTATTGCATGCGTTCCACGTTTTTCGTTTCAAATCTTACAAGTGTTTTATTAGTATATTGTACACCAAGGGTTGTAGATAGCGAGTTAACAAAATTTGTACCGAACAGACAGACGAGAAAGCGAGCTAATAAAGACATAGTAAAATCTGCGGTCTAATTATAATACAGGAAAGAAAAGACAGTCGCAAAATGGAATAGGTTCATACGAGCAGATGGTTTTGATTGTCGGAGAGGTATAATGGAAGTAAATAGTTGATCGTTAGAAAAGGAGGTCGCCTCGCAGGAGAATTCCTTTTACTTTTACGAGCGACTCGTACCTCTTACGAGTCGAATCGTGCGTTTTATCGCGTGCGTACGTACCATTAGCTAGAATCTTTCTCGTCCGGATCTGAAAACAGTTCCAGCCGGGGAAGTAAATTTCTCCTTTGCTCGTTACTCTCGCGATACATCGGAAATAGTAGGTCAAAGATACGAAAAGGACGCGATCTCACGGAATAATCCCGTTTTCAAAAGAACCGGCTCGAAATAACAAGGGCTGTGATGCTGTGTCAGAAATGTCAAATGCTGTGATTAAACATTTTTAATTATGTCTCGTGTTTCGGGCCAACACAATTTGTTGGGCAACTTCGTATGTCGGATAAAAAATCAACGGTGTACAGGGTGGTCCGACATTATTATTATATTGATTTTCGTCATCATTATTATACGGAGCAAAGAGTGTCTAGTATAGTATATAATGTTGCATGCTTTCGAGACAGGCATGTTCTGATGGCAAGTTGTTTTGTACGTAGGCGCGTAGTAGAAATATGAAGATCGTCAACATGTTTTTAAGGTTGCATGAGCCGTAAGATCTCTACTAAAAAGTTTAAGACGTGTAATAAAAAGCTGTGCTTAATATTTGAAGCAACGAACTTTTAGAAAAAATGATAATTACGGAGGATTAAGGTTTATAAAATTATGCGACCG